ATCAATTATCACAACTCCATCATTTGATTTCTTTATAAAGACACACAGACATATTTGATCATTTAAGTATCCCCTTTTAAGTAATTGTTCACTCAAACAATTATACCACATACGCCCGGATTGTTTCAAGCCATATAATGACCTTTGTAGAATTATCGCACATAACTCTTTAGGTTTGGAGTTTAGTGCTTCGGGCATTATGATTCCTTCAGGAACTTTCATGTAAATGTCTGTGTCTAATGATCCATATAAGTAAGCAGTCACAACATCCATGAGACGCATCTCAAGATTTTCATGGATAGCTAAACTGATTAAGTATCTGAAAGTAATTGCATTCATGACAGGGGAATATGTTTCTTCATAATCAATCCCAAGCCTTTGGGAGAATCCATGTGCTACAAGGCGAGCTTTATATCTCGTGATCTCATTTTTCTCATTTCTTTTTCTGATGAAAACCCATCTGTATCCAATAGGTTTTATGCTTTTTGGTGTAATGGAAATAGGCCCAAAAACTTTTCGTTTATTAAGCAAATCTAACTCAGTTTGGATGGCGTCTTTCCACTTATCCCAATCATGTCTTTTCCGGCATTCAATAACAGATTTTGGTTCAGGATCCTCAACTTCATTATTAATATCTTTCGATACCATATATGCAAATGCATCATCAATATTTATGAACTCATCACGCTTCCAAATATTTCCATTATTCACGTAATTAATGGAAATTTCAATATTTTCATTTCTTTCCGAAATTTTTTCATCATCTTGATTCTTTTTCAAATTCGAGTCTTGAATTTCTCTTTTCTTTCGAGGATTCTTATCTTTAGACCCAATTGGTCTTCCTCGTTTCAAATGTGTATTTGACTCATTTTGCATATTATCATTTGGCATTTCTTTTGGAATCTCAATTCGATCAGGAGCATTTACAGCTGCCACATATGATTTGGTCACCCTTTTTAAATCAGTAAATGCATCTGGCAATTGATTTGCAATATTCTGCAGATGTATAATCTTTTGAACTTCTTGCTCTCTTTGTTTTGTGGGAGGATCAAGATATGATAGTGATGATGTTCTCCATTCAATATTTCTCTGAATTGATTTTTCATTCCCACCTAATTGGGGAAATAATTCTTCATTAAAATGACAATCATCAAATCGAGCTGTAAAAACATCACCTGTTTTTGGCTCAAGGTATTTGATTATTGATGGAGATTCATATCCAACATATATTTCCAACCTTCTTTGAGGCCCCATTTTTGTACATTGGGGTAGAACAATTGGTACATACACTGCACAACCAAATACTCTTATATGTGCAATGTTTGGTTCTCGGCCATATGCCAACTGTAATGGCGAGTAATTATGGTATGTACTTGGTCTTATTCGAATTAGATCATCTGCATGCAGAATAGCATGTCCCATACTGAAGTGGGGAGTTTTGTCCTCATTATTAATGGTATGGCTATAAGTTGCAATCGTTTAATTAATGATTCTCCTAGACCATTTTGAGTGCGAACATGTGCCACAGGATGTTCAACATCAATTTCCACCGCCATACAATAATCATTAAATGCTTGAGATGTAAACTCACCAGCATTGTCAAGTCTGACCCTTTTGATAACATAATCTAGGAATTGAGCCCTTAATTTAATAAGTTGGGCGAGTAATTTAGCAAATGCCACATTTCGAGTGGATAACAAGCTCACGTGAGACCATCTACTAGAGGCATCAATCAACACCATAAAATATCTGAATGGACCACAAGGTGGATGAATAGGTCCACATATATCACCATGAATCCTTTCTAAAAAATAATGGTGATTCATGTCCGACTTTAGTATGTGATGGTCTCACTATCAATTTCCCTTGAGAACATAAGGCACATGTCAATTCATTTGTTTGTAATATCCTCTGATTTTTTAATTGATGGCCATTAGAATTTTCAATAATTCTTCTCATCATTATCGAGCCAGGGTGACCAAGTCGATCATGCCAAAGTTTAAACATCTCATTCGCCTTTGAATTGGTTGCAGCATAAGCCTCGATTATATTGATGTGGGTGTAATATAAGCCCGAGGATAAAGCGGGTAACCTCTCCAAAACACATTTATTTCCCGAGGTAATGCAAAGATATTCATCTCCCCCTTTATTCATTGTTTCAACATGATATCCGTTCATTCGGATATCTTTAAAACTCAACAAGTTTCTTGTTGATTTTGGGGAGAATAACGCATCATTCACTGTAAATTTTGTACCTCCCATCATAAAAAATATGGCCTTTCCAGACCCCTCAATTATCTTTGCACATCCTGATATTGTGTTCACTTTCGCTTTATTTGTTTCTAAGTGAACAAAATATTTTCTGTCTTTAAGTATAGTGTGGGTAGTGACACAATCTGCAAGACATAAATCTCCATTTTGCATTCGGGATTGTTCCATGATCTAAAACAAAAATAAAAATATTATTGATTAATTTCGAAATACATATAGAGATGTTTCACACATTATTACAATCATACTTAAAAATTTCAATCATACAGAAAATAGATCATCAATTATTCTCTTGGTCATTTCCATCTCTGTCTTCAAATACTGCATCGGCAAAATCCAGTTTCAATATGTCATCGATGCCATAGTCATCATCCACACGTGTTGCATCATTTTCAGAGGATTCCCCAACCATAAAATTGGTTTCTATATTCTTATCTTTTGATTTCTGGGAATCGTTATAACAACAACGTGTCTCGGAGCACGACAATTTCGTGCCCAATGCCCCTTCCTTCCACATCGACAACATGCCTTTTCATCATTATTTTTCGTCACATTGTTCTATTCAAATTTTGGCTAGAAATGTCTCCCCTTTTCATAATTTTGGACATAGTTACGGCCTCGTCCATGATTGTATTCTCGGCCCGAGTTATACCCTCGGTGAAATCTGTGGCCTCGGTCGGACTGACGATCCGGACCATATCCTCGGCCACGTCCACGACCACGGCCACGTCCTGAGGTATATCCACGCACATGTGTTTGGCTGTTTTTATTTCCAGTTCCCTGTCTAGATATTACAATATTTATTTCAGGGACCGCAGTAGACCCCGTAGGTCTAGATTCATGGTTTTTCATCAACAGCTCATTATTTTGTTCAGCTAGAATATTTCACAAAGCCTTTTGCTCTGTATTGTTGCTGCAAAAGTACATTTGAAGCGTGGAATGTGGACAACGTTTTTTCCAGCATATCGTAATCAGTTATGTTTTCCCCGCATAATTTCAATACCGAGCAAATGCGGAACATTGCTGAATTGTACTCGTTTACAGTTTTGAAATCTTGGAAGCGTAAATGCATCCAATCATAACGAGCCCGGGGGAGAATCACCGTTTTCTGGTGATCATACCTTTCTTTCAAGGCTTTCCAGAGATCTGCAGGATCTTTCACAGTTAAATATTCATTTTTCAATGTCTCATTCAAATGATGTCTCAGAAATATCATTGCTTTAGCTTTATCTTGTATTGATGAATTATTTGGGGAGATTATCGTTTCTCCCAACCCCCTTGCAGCCAAATGGATTTCGACATCCAATGTCCATGAAATATAATTTTTTCCAGATATATCAAGAGCTTCAAATTCGAGTTTGACCAGATTTGCCATGATAACTATAAAATAAAACATCAATGCTTAGCTTCGAAAATATTACATATACAATCATTAATTCTCCAAAACGTACATAAGAGCAAATAATAAACACATTACACAAAAACCTAATACATAAAATATAAATTCAGAAGTATGATACATCATTGTGAAAATTCCCAAAGCGTATATAATAAACAATATAATGGTAATTACAAAGAATAGATTAAACAATTTTTTTTTTAGGAGAATATATTGTAGTATTTTGGAATGAGTGTTAATATATCAAGGTGAAGTGTGATATATATAGATTGATAAATAGCTGTTGCAAAAAGAGCCGTTATGTAGCCGTTATATATATTTTTTATTTATATTTATTTATAAAAACACATTATTGATATAATATTTGTTAATTATATCATTCATGAAAAATTTAATTAATCATGCATATCAACATATAATTTTTTCGGGTTACTTAATAAACATTTTTAGCTAATATAACAAATAAAAATGTTACCCCACACTACTCGATGAATCTTTCGTTGGGTACAAGAATAAGCAGTAATAAATTCCACGCCACATTACATTACTGGGTAAACCATTTTGTGGGTGTGAAGTACAATTAATAATATTATGTTCATAATCAGTAGTAATTCATAAATAATTTAATAATATCAACTTACCACATATTATTGACGATGGCATAGCCTTACTTGCCAATAATAATGGTAATATGTATATTAGTAAAATATACTAATTTTATATATACATATATATATAATTAACATATTACTACCTTTCTTACCGGTTAGAGCGCTCGTGCTGATAACGTGTTATAAATACTAGGAAAATAAAGAACACAATTATATAAACCGGAGACAAATTTTTACTAAATTTTCTCTCCTTTATTTCTTTCTCTTCTTTCTTTCTTTCTTGTATTTCTATGTGTGTTTGTGCTCAATGAATTGAACTATATTTATAAGCCAAATTTTGCCACATTTATTTGACATTTTTACACATTAGGACTATTCATAGTCCAATTAGTACAAAGGACTATTGTTAGTCCATTATTTACAACAGTTAAGATATATTTCATAAATTAATATATCATGTAGTATTTAATTACATTAATAATCCCACTTGACAAAAGTTGGGCTTGCTTTATAGAGAATTTTACAAGTCTCATCTCAACTGTGAAAAAAAGCACAAGTTACCATGTAACTAAGATTGGAGCAACAAATAAATAAGAAGACAACAATTGCGCGCCATAATTCATATTGGGACCAAAAACCATTAAAACCATTTTATGAAGAAAAATCTAATTAAAACTCATGGCAAATTCATGATAAGAAATTAGAGTGACTTATAATATTAATATTGTTGTGATCCAAAAATATCTAAATTTGTTGGCACATTGAATCGATAAGTTAGAACTATCTCTAACCTATTAAATGCGCTTTTGTATCAAAAGTTACAAAAGACAAATTTAAACGCTGGAAAAGTGAGTTTGTTAACAATAACATATCTAATCAAACCTAGAAAGGTTAAAATCAGAAAGTGACACAATTTGGTATTTGGAGAGACGCTCTACAAAAAATTGACAGGGTCAACGAGTTGGTCAATTACGCCTAAATTACCTACTCTGCCCTCAACAGCGCCATTAATGCCACCCTGCCACAATCCGTACACATCATCAGTAAAGTGGAGACCGGTGAGGCGATCCCTTCCGCCGGTTGGTTTCTGAAACCGGTTTACACGCGGGCCGGTTTCCAGAGAGAATGCTCCTTTTCTTCCTCACCACCTCCATCGTCGTCGCCGTGCTGATCAGAGCCGGGCAGTCGACCGGCCCGCCGACGCCGGCCGAATAGGACTCCGTCCGCACCGAACCCGCCGGCTCGAGAACCGAGTCAGGCGTCATCCGGCCGTCGTCCTGGTTTGGTTCCGGCAGCGCGAGGAACTTGCAGTTGCGAAGGTATTTCGAGAGCTTGGATCTGGTTCGGAATACGTGCTCGAGCTGTGATTGAATTGAGAAAAAACCGGAATTATGATATGGGCCCGTGTTAAAATTCGAAATTTTGATTTGGGGTTTAGAAAATTCTGGAGATTTCACTTTCTTTTCCTATTTTTTTTTCATCAATTTTTTTGGTGAGAAAAATGAATGTTGTTAGTTGTTACCTTGCAAGAGATGGAGCAGAAGAGATATGATTTTTGCAGATTTCTGTCACAGCTAATGCAAATGGGGGCTGATGCTCTGTGGATTCTGGCTCGGGGCCTCTGATGTAAAAATACTACTTTTGCACTGTTACTGGTGTAAGACTGCAGGGACAAAGGGAAAATATTTTTAGAAAAAAAAAAAAATAAATTAAAGATTTTGAAAACCCCACTTGTAAAAAATAATGATCTTTTGCAGAACAAATATAAGAAAAAATAAAATGGGTAAGTAATGATATTTCTTGAGAAGGGCTTGTATGAGAAAGTAAATTTAATCAAGGAAAGTGAGATTATTCCCCATTTCAACTCTAAATTCTGCGTGAGCTTACTTGAACATGATCACAGTCTATTAGCTTAACAGCATCCACAAGCCTGAGAACGTCCTGATACACATTTCTCCTTATCTGAACCGCAGCAACACACCACCATAAACAATCACAAACAAAAAAAGAAAATTTGTCTCTTATATATAAGCAAGAAAGTTTGAATTGAGAAAACAAAACCTTGTTACAGAATTTCAATAACTCGCGTCCAGGAAAAAAATTAAACATTTTAAAGCATGAAGCAAATAGTTTAAGATTTCGAGAATTGAATGAGCCTGGAAAACACGATTCATCCAAAGTGCAGAGAAAGTCAAAACAGAATTTATCAAGAATCATCCACTCTCAAAGCATCGATCTGGTTCAGGAAAATTTTCAAAATTAAGACAACAAACGGCAAAATCACAGACCTGCATGAGGCGGTGAGAGTGATGATCGGAAACACAGTGCGGGCAAATTCCCTCGCAGCAATCCAAGCAAAAGACGTTCTTTTCGTTTTTCTTTGCGCCCTCGTGAAGTATGCACGCGTTGAAAAACTTCTCGCCCATCAGGCCGCGGAGCCACCCCGGAACCTCCGGACTCTCCAGCTGCCGGAGAAAAAGAAAAACATACAATTCACTTTTAGATTGAGAGGGAGAATAAACGGAAAAACATCATATTCCTAGAGAGAGAAAGAGAAGGAGCTCACCATGTCTGAAATTACCATGTCGGAAGCCGAATTCACGAGTAAACAACTAGGAAAATATAAAAACAAGTTCCTCTGCAATTCGCTATCGGTCGCGTTTGGCCATACGGATTGAATTGCACAAACGCAGTATTTGTGTGTGTGTGTGCGTGTGTGTGTGTTTGTGAATGTAGAGAGAGAAAGGGAGAGAGAGAATAGAACGGCGCCTGGCGAAAAACTGAGAGTGTCTCTGTTACTGTTACCAATGAAGGAACAGAGGAGTTGCCTTCATTTATTTTCTTTTGTTTTTCTTTTTTCCTTTTTTGTTTTGGGGAGAAAATCGGAGGAAAAAAAAGGGAGTGTGTCTTTTTGTGTGGGCATTTTTGTAATTTGGTTGTACCGTGAGGTACTATTTGTCGCGCCACGTATGTACCACAGCAATTTTTCTGCTGTAACAGTCCAACGAAGTGATTTGTTTGTTAATGGCTAAGTTCCGAGTGAATCACACGCGTCATTTCATTTATGTAAAATTACATACTAATGCAATGCCCAGTACACGGGTGTTTATGAAAAGATATATACTTAAATTTAAAAAGTTATGAAAAAATCTAATGAAAAAACCTATTTTAAATTTTATTTTTTTCAAAAAAATATATTATTATTATCTATATTTAAAATGACTCCATCACATATACTACTTACTCGTCTGATACTATAATATTTATTTTAACTTATATGATATAGCTAATTCGTAGCTAAATTAATTTAATTGATAAGTAATTTTATGTTTTCAATTAAAATTGATAGAATATTTAATTTTTATTTTCAATATAAATACAATTATTTATTTATATTACCATACAGTGTAGATGTCAAATCGAATCTAATGAAGAGATGATTGATTTGATATATCATATATGAAAAAATTATGATAAATATAAAAGATAGCTTTTAAAATATATTTACAATATAAGTTCGTAAAGTTTATTATAATTTTTTAAAAAAATAAGGAGAAAAATAAAGATTGAAGAAAACAATTTTCATGTCTTATAAACAACGCCCAGAATAAGAAATTGTATTAAAACACAATTAATGCTATTAAAAATAATCATATATATCCAATATATTTATGGATACTTCCTAGCCTAATTATTTGTAGATTGGAAGTAATTCAAAAGCTATCCAAACCAAATTACTAAGCATGAACTTTTGCCACATAGGATCTCGAAGGGTGCGAGTCTGCCACTTAGGCTCAACGCATTCGATAATTATATATAGGAGGATTCCCACAATTTTAAGGGATATGTTAGTTGAAATAATAGTTGGGGAAAAGATTGATTAAATTACTTAATTACGGTTGGGGTTGTTTGTATTATATAAGTTTTCAAATATTACAAGTGGCATATGTAATTGTTAAGCGGTCGTCTGCCTCGACATCGGGCCTATTGATTAGGGGCAGACCCTGAATACTCTATCCGGCAAGTTAGACATCCATGAGTTGTGAAGCCTAAAAGAAAATGAGAATAATATGCTGGAAATAAAAAAGAAATAAATTGAAAAAATACACCCTTCAACGACAGAATAAGAGTTCGAACATGAGGGCCTGAAAGACACGAGAATGGCTCTACGACGACCCAACTCAACCCCCTTTCGTCAAACCATTAAACGAGTCAATAAAGAACTAAACGATCGGCACGTGGTAACAATAACTCTGACTCTACAAGTCAGTAGTAACACCATCAACCAACGTACATAGCTATGCTCGAACGATCCATAGAAGAAACTCCCCAAAGACTCGCGAAAGACTCCTAATGGAATACACTAAGGAGACGATGGATAGAACACACCTAAAGATCCTCACACTTACAAACCAATTATCACAAAGATTTCATGTGGCAAGAGAAGGTTGGATCGATTGAGATGAAGCCGAAGGCTAGAAAACGAGAGTTCAAAGTTGTAGCACACAATGGAGAGAAAAAAATGAGAAGTCATCGAACACGATTGGGTCTTCTTAGATATTTTAAGAGATTGTGATTTAATCACATATGTACGAATGACCAAGATCGCGAAGATAGAGCAGACTGGCAAAAAATTGGACTTAAGCCATAATTTGGGCTCAGGGTGCAAATAGTTTGGACCATTAATAAATATATTTTAGGTAGGGCCACAAATATCACCTATCTCCACCTTGAATCAAAGTTGGTTCACAAGAATTGGATGACGTAGGTTCATTATTGCTTTATTACCTGGACTCAAACACAAAATTATGAAAAATATGTAGCACACACAAAGTTGACTACCTCACATAGAGTTTCACGTACATATATAACACATTAATCACACTATATCAGAGTTAAAAGTTTCCATCCAAAGTTGATCGAAAATTCTCAACAAACAAAAACTTAGCTCCCATATCAATAAGATTAAATTCAAAAATAATTTTTCAAGATTAACCAAGCCTTCAGACATAATATCGAGAATGAAATGAAATCGACATCTATATGCTTGATACGATCATGAAAAGTAGGTTTTTTACAAAGTGTGATCTTACTGTAAAGAAAACAAATTTAACATAATAGGCCCTTAAGCCAAATAGCCTCTTTAAGGCTTCAGTCACAACCACGAATTAAGACTCAGGGGTTGATAGTGAAAAAAATGTGTTGTAATTAAGATTTCCAACTAATACAAGCACCACACAAAGTCAACACACAAGAAGTTATAGATTTCTGATTATCCCTGTCATTAGCATGGTTAGAACCTAGATAGCGAACCAAATTAATACCTTGCTCATGCTTAGAGATTTCAATTTATAATTTGCAAAACAAATCAAGTACCTGAAAAGCCACTTCATGGCTTGCATTGGTAAACACTGTGATTAGACATATACCTACTCAAACCCCTCACATAATCAGTCCTCATGCTAACCATTATATACATTAATGAGCCAATGGAATTTGAGTAACATTATGACCAACTAATGTCACATTAACAAGCTTATCATTCACCATAGAAAAATTTATTAAAGATTTTCTGCACATAAGTATCTTAGTTCAACAAAGTAGTAAAACTCTTTCTGTCTCTATGAATGTTCGTGTCAAGAATCCGTTTAGCATTTCCAAGGAACTTCATAACAAATTTTGCACTCAAGCAATCTTTGACATAATCAATTATAATCAAAGCAAGATCCCACCAAGATCATATCATCAATAAAGATAAGCAAGAAAATAGGCACATTTTCATTTCTTTAAATATGGACAATGATCATAATCGCTTCTCATAAATTTCAAAAATAACTTGCATTAGCAAACTTTATATTCCAGTGTCTAGCAAATGCTTCAAACCATACAATGATTTCTTAAATATACAAACATGATTAGGACATTTAGGATCAACAAAGTCATTAGGTTTCCGTATATAAATGGTCTAATCAAGTTCACTGTGAAAAGAGGCAATTTTAACATTGATGTTTCAACTCTCAATCAAACTAAACAACTAAGTAAGCATAATCCGTACAGGAATAAATCTCACAATATGAACAAAGTCTATCTATATTTTTTGAGTAAACCCTTCACCACCAACCTATGTTTAAATCTAATAGAATCATTCTCATTCTTGAGTTTAAACAACCACTTACTATATAGAATAGAACAATTAACATGTGATATTTTAATATATAAATATATACTCATTGAAAACAATATAATTATCTAATATTAAAGTCAACAATAATATTTTAGTCTTGGTCATTAAAAGCTATTCTAATCATCTATTCATTCAGCAACATACTAAGTGGAACTTATTAGACCATCCTTAACCCGTCGCTATATTTCAACTTTATCGATAGAGTAGATGAATTTTCTTCTCCAATCCATCGCCACATCTCCAAGCTATTTTATTACATGTGTGAATAGCAAGGTTGTCAAACCGAACTGTGGAAGTTACCGGTTCAATGGTTCACTGGTCGGATCAATGGTCGAACTGGTCGAACGGTTTCAATTAATATATAATTTTTATTTATTTTGTATGTATAATATATAACTTTATATATTTATATCATTAATTTTTTGTGTATAATGACATATTTTTAAATATATAAAGGAAAAAATATATAAATAATAGTGCATATTATAATTATTTTAGCTAACATGCTTGATCCTAAGTGTAGGTTTATAATTAATATGTATTATTTTACTTTTTCCATTTTTTGAAAAAAGATTTTTTAATGATTTTTGGCATGACAAATATTCACTAAGAACTTTTCAAGGCTTAATTTACTTTTGAAGTAAAACTCAATAAGACAAAAGGCCCAATAGTTTCAAGCATTAACAAACATTACAAACAAGAGGCATTAATTGTAGGAATTTACAATTGCAACTAAGGCCCAATACTGGCCCAAACCTCTTCTTCACTTGTGAGTTGTAAGCTCCCACATCGGAACCGCAAACAAAAAATCTCAGCTATTTATTTGATTGTTGTATCTGCCAAGTTCAAAGCACACCACATGGCCGTTGGGCCGCACTGACTGCAATTGGTTTTACCGGGTTTTGACCGGTTCAAACGATTGTTGACCGATTTCGGTTCCATGCCTCAAACTGGACCGGTGTACTGGCCGGTTCGATTTCGACAACTTTGGTGAATAGTGTTGCGCCTGCGCTATAGTTTTTCTTTTTTCTTTTTGTAATTTAATTCAAATTTTAGTAATTTTGTATAATGTATTACTAAATATATTTATTAGGTTAAGTAACTTATGTTTTTTATTCTATTGATGCATTATAGTTTTGTTTTGCAATTTTCTTTAATATGATAGTACCATATAAAGAAAAACTTACCACAATAAAATAAGTAAATTTCATTAAAATGAAAAGTTACAACATCAAAAAATACACAAACAAAAACAACATGATTAAAATATGAATGACTTAAAAAATCTACGAAACACATGAATAGTAAAATTTTTATTCTAGAAAATATGTGTAAAATTGTTTTATTCTCATTATAATAATGAGAGTAAAATAATTATTTAATTTAAATAATTAAATATGAGTATAGCATTATATCAAATTATATTAAATTTGTGATATTAAAATAATTTAAATTAACGAGAATAAAAAGAAAATATTTTTTGGAGTAAAATGTAGCGCGAAAATTGGAGACCAAACTTAATTTTTGTTTCAATCTAGAGTA